GAGGTTATCACAAAAACCACAAGTGTTATGGTTTGTGTCTGGGTGTCCCCCCAAAGCCTCATGCTGCCATGGGACAGGCTTTTAGAGTTTGATTGATTATGGGTGTGGGAGCTACACCGGCCCTGGGGTGGATAGTTTGCATATGTAAGGGAGAGGAAGAGGCTGCTTGGGGCCATTCCTCCCCCATTTCCTCCCTTGTGTGTTTTGTTGCTTTGCTGTGTTCTGCCAACATGAGCTGTAGCCCTCTGCCATGTGCCACTCTGTCTGGTAATCTGCCAATTATGGACTGAAACCTCCACAGACTGTAAGCGAAATAAACTTTTCCTTCCTGAATTTTGGGCATCAGGTATTTTGTCTCAGCAACGAGAGAAAAGTAACCAAGACAATAAGTAAACATTTTGTCTTGATCTCAGAAAGAACCTGATTCAGAGAAAAGTCCAGATTATTTTCCTGATAATTCTGAGAAAAGAAATCTGTGCATTTCCGAGATACACACAGGAAGTCCACAAGGGAACCCTGGGGGAAGCAATCCAGTCTAGCCCCAGAACAGTGAGGAAACCCCTATCTTGAGGGGATTCAGAAATTGCCCTGGACGGGGATCTGTGAGTGACTGACTGGCAAAAGGCTGGAGGTGGCATACAGATCATGCCCTGAAGAGCTCACCTTCTAGATTTGGAAAGGACAGATGGGGAGCAATGAGTTCTATTAAAGCCTGGTCTTCTGGACAATGAGGGCTGTTGGGCTCCAACATGCTGGAGACCTATGGGTACCTAGAGGTATCTTACATCTGGATATGACTCTGGAGACACAAGTGGAGTTGGTGTGACTCTAGTAACCAGGACAGAGTTACAGACAAAGGTTGTCTGGGTTTGCTGGCCTTGCCTCAGAGGTGTCCAGCAGAGGGCAGCAAGAGGCCACAGCACCAGCAGCAGGAGGCCCATGCTGACCAGCTAGGCACAATCTGCACCTGGGGACATGAATTTTGCTGCTTCTCTCTTGGATCCACATTGGAGCTGTGTTAAAATTCAGAGAAAGGAGTTAGGTCATACATCTAGGGAGACAACTCAGATTTGTTCACTGGCATTCATTTATTTTGCTAAATAGTTATTAATTGCTCATACCTGTGGTTCCCTGCCTTGCCAGGTACTGAGGCTACAGAGATGAATGCTATAGTCCTATAATAGTTGCAGTGAAAGGGCTCATGCTTGCATGGCATTATTGCAGGTCATGATTGTTTTATTTGTATCAGCTCATCTAGTCCCCTGAGGTGAGGTAGTACCATAGAAAGTATATAAGCCTTGCCCAGGGCAACTCAGCTGCAAAGTGGTAGAGGCTGGATTTGAAGCCAGTTAGTCCAGCTCCAGAGCCTCTCTCTCAGTGCCTTTGCTGCACTGACATAAGTAAATAGCCAAGATGATATCCAAGAGCTATCACTGCTGAGAAGAAAATAAGATGTGTATTGGGTTGGAGACTTGGGATGGGGGCCACTGTGGCCAAACAAGGACTGTTGTGAAGGGTAGGGGTGACATACAATCGAAGACCTGCATGGAGAAGAAGACATGTCTGTGCCCACACTGGGGGTCTGTTGAACCCCAGTGTCCCCTAGCTCAGGGCCCCTGTGGACCTTCTCTGCATGATAAAGCACCCAGCCTCCTCACCCAGAGTCTCTGGAGCCACTCAGACTTTATGCTTTTCAGAGAGGGGAGATACCTGGCAGAGTTTGGGAACAGGGCAGGGGCTGAGCCTCCACAGAAGGATGTAGATAATTTCAAGCATCTGCATGTTGGTTTCCATACATACAGATACCCACACATGCACAGAAATAAAACCACTGCAGGCCCACAGACACATATGGCCCCCTCAGGATCTCAGATTCTGACATCCGTCAGGACCTATTCCAGCCCTAGACTCACTCCTGAAGTCCCAGGGGTTGCAAGACCCTGAAGATGTGCTGGGGAGATTTGGATAGGTAGCAGGTTTTGCTAGGAGGGCACTGGTTAGTGGAGAAGGATTACTTAGACTGATGTTATACAGTGAAGCAGAACCTCTTTACCTCAGAAGGGGCCTCCACACAATAAAGACGCCCTGATTTCCAGCACAGGGACAGCTCTGTAAGCTGTCGGCAGGAAGCCACGTGATGACTATATTTCTTGGGGCAATAGTTTCCAAAACTGGCCAAACAACCAGTTCCCATGAGGACCTCATTAAGATGAGAGAGCTCTGAGGTTTTAATTCACTGGGTCCAGAATGAGGCCAAGATCATATGATTTTGTCAAGTGTTCCAGTCAGTTCTTCTAGTCCCTGCTCTGAAAAGCCACGACAAGGCAGGCTGGCCTACGGGCTAGATTGGAAGCCCAGTCCAAGGAGTCTGTGTGGTTAAGAAATGGCTACCCACCCCCTATTTCTTTGAAGCCTGACACCTGTGTTTGCTTGAACAAGAGTGATTCCAACCTGGGACCAGAGCGTCCTCCCACACAGTTTGCCACCTGTGTTGCGAGTGCTCCTTCCCAGACAGACTCCAGCTCTAAGCACCTCCTGCCTTCCCTGCAATCTGCCACCACTTTACAAAACCCACTTCCCAACATTTCCCGCCCAGGCCCTTCATGCCAGCTGAGCCCTTTCTGGTTAATGGGGGTGGGGATTCCTGGTTCCTGGAACTTTCCAAAGCACAGACCACTTACACAACAAGCAAACAACCTTCTGGGTCACAGGCTGTGCTGTGACACATGCACCCCAGGGTCAAGCCCAGGGCCTGACTGTTGGTGCTTGTTGGTCACAGGGAGGAAAGGAGGTTCCACAGATGTAATGTTGGGCCTCCAGTTGGGACCCTCAGTCCAACCTCTGGCTTGGCCACAGCAAAGTGTCAGCAGCAGACCTGTGACTCTCTAAAGAAGACGCTCCCTAGGAACAAAGTCCTGGGATTTCAGGATCTAGAACCTGAGCCAGAACCAGGACCTTGAATGTCAAAGGCTTTCGTAGCCATTTTTGCTGTGTGATATGAGGTGGGTGACAGTCACCTTAGCTATGTCTACACCTCCACAGAACCCTAACTCACAGACTAATTTAAGCCAAAGGCCCCCAGCTCAGTAACTTGCCCTTCCAACGTTCCCAGCCTGGCTTCCTATAGGATTCAGAAACAGCTGATATATGCTTAACCCACAATTAGCTTGCAGACAACTGACAGGCAACAGAAATTGGAAATAGTCCTCAGAGCCTGCAGCTCTGCTCCTGCAGTGGGTCCACAGTCGCTATTAATGTGTGGCCACTGATTCATGCAGCTTTCAAAGAGAGAAGCCTTAGAGACTGAGGTATGAACGGAGAAGGTGAGGCAAGCTCTTGGTATATAGAGCACCAACTCCTTCTGCTTCCAAATTCTGCAGCTCCCAGCCCCTAGGCTCTCTCTCCTTTAACCCTGAGGAGGTGAAGAGACCCTGACTCCTCGTCCAGAGGCGTGGCCACTGGGCTGGAGCCCAGGCTGCAGCCTTCTGAACACTAGCTTCCCTCACAGGATGCTTAGAACTATGACTGCAGCTTCTCTATCTATACACAGGCACAAAAGAGATCTTGTGTTTTGAAATTAACTCCACTTCTCCCAGGCCAACAGGCAGAATTGGGAACTGAAGCTAGATAGGCAGTTTGTCTCAATCCTACACTGCAGTTAGAATAGTGGCTGTGGGTGGCACTTAGAGCAGTTCTGGCAGGAATGTCAGGTGCTGAGAACAAGATCTATCCATGCTCCAGCTTATGGAGCAGGCTTTATTCCCTGTCTAGGCAAAAAGGAATCAGCAAGTCATCTCCAAGAGGCAGAGTGTGGGGCGAAGCTACGAGCCAGAAAGAAAGGACAGTGCCTGGGGAGCATGGAGTGCTGCCATGCAAGGGAGTAAGGCTAGTGATAAAAGAATGAGATGGTGCCAAGGTGGGAGGAGGAGCAAACAGAAGCCGCTGGAGTGAGGTGGGGGATGGGAGACTCAAGCTTGCACTGCAAGGCTGTGTCTCCCATCCCCTAATGCTGGGAAAGAAGCCCTGAGTCTTCTGCAGTTTTATAGCTGTGGATGCTGGCCTTTGTCACAGTGTGCGGAGGGAGGCATTCATCCAGGTTAGCTCCCCTTCCATAAGACAGAAGGAGTTGTGTAAGAGCGACCTGTCAGTTCCCTCATCTTTGTCTTGGCTGTGAGAAAATTCAGGTGGGAATCTTGTGCTTTGTCACAGTAACTCTGTCATTTTGGATCATCTTTGGTCTACATCCTCTTCTTCCTTTCTGTGAAGTTTCTAGCCTGTCCTTTACCTATTTGCCTTAATCCAAGGTTTCATGGGTGCTTCTAAATTTTAAGCAGTTTCCCACACCTTTGGCAAGCAGTGTAGGTCTAAGTTGGAAGGAGAGCTTCGTTCATCAGAAAAGTACTCTCCCAGCCCCCAAGTGTGGCACCTCAACAAGCCCCACAGAACTGAAAATTCAGCCATGTGACAGTCTTGGTGTGCTAGAGGCCCAGAGCCCAACCCCTGCCACCTTCACCCTGCTGGCCCAGTGCTTGCACATGTCCCACCCCTTCCTGAAGAGTCCTGCAGCAGAAGACCATCTGGCTGGAGAAAGCACGGTCCTCATTCACTTCTCAGTGGCCAATTAGTTCATCTGTGTGTAACTTTTTGTTTGTTTGTTTGTTTGTTTGTTTTGTTTGTTTGTTTGTTTTTCCGGTACCGGGAATTGAACTCATGACCTTGTGCTTGCCAGGCAGGCGCTGTGCCTCTGAGCTAAATCCCCAGCCCCTGTGTGTAACTTTTTAAATATATCCATTTGACATATATTCATCAAGCACTTAGTAACTACAAAATGCTTTTCCTGGCTCTGGACAGCATGGCTAGCAAAGCAGTGTGGCCTCCCCTGAGCTGACCAGATTCCTCACTTCATTGTCAGCTTCTCTTCACTTCTTCATCCTGAGGCCAAATGGTCCCTTTCCCTCCTGTACTTGACAAAAGAACAGCTTGACATTAGGCATGAGAAAGCTAGTGCTAAATTCTCTTTTGAAGTGGCAGGGAGCTCAGCAAAAAGCCAGAAAAGGGGCCAAGGACCAAAGACCAAGACAAGGAAGGAGCAGCTCAGGCTGAGAACTCGCAGACGGCCAGGCAGGTGGCCGTGCAGGAGAGGTCATTCCAGAGCCCGCTGGTCTTCAGAATCACACAGTCCTCCCCTTTGCCATAGTCATTAGGCTCATTGCTCTTCCAGTTGCTGTAGGCCAGCCTCCCTCCTGTGACATACATGAATTGGCCTTCGGTCACCTCATCAGTGATGCCCAGGAAGACACTGTCACTGGCCATCTCTTGGATAGCTTTGTTCTCCTCAGCATTCCTGGGGGTGGCCACGGTGCCCCCGAGTTCTGTGCACAGAGCCTTCACCTTCACAAAGGTCATCTTTTCACCATTGGTCACATAGAACTTCTTCCCAGACTTTTTGCCCAAAGAGAAGTCCTGCACTGAAATCATAAAAAGCAGATGAGGCTGACATAGTCTGGAGCTCACCTGAGACTGAAGAACCAGCTCTCTGAGAATTTGGGACTCTGGAAAGAGTCTCATGCCTGCCCCTCAAGCCAAAGCCTAGGAAGAAGGAAGTTCCCAGCTGTGGGGGCCAAGGGAGGGACATCGGGCAACCCCCCTCCCTGGCTTTCCTGGGAAATCCAACCCTTAACAGCAAAGTCAGTTAGAAATGGTCCCAGCAGGTGGACACTGGGGGATGTGCTGGGAGTTGGCTTGGGCATAGTGGGTGTGGAGGAAGGAGCAGAGTTTGGAGACCACAGCCTCTGTTCCCTCTGCCTCTGCTCCTTGCTACGTGGGTGATGAAGGGGTTCATACCTTCTTATTCCATGCCTTGTCTGTAAACATAACAAGTATAATAACCACTCCTGGGGGTGGTGAGAGGATCAAATGGAACCATATTACAGGGCAGTGCCAACCTTGCACAAACCCAGGCACTCACTGTAAGACGTGCGCACAAGTATCTGTTCTCTTCCACTCTCCCTAAATCTAGCTCACACTGAAGAAAAATGTGAGCACCAAAAATGACTGGAAGTAGAGGAAAAGCTTACACTTTTTGATGCGATCCAGTTCTGATTTCAGTTCTCTTATTTCCCTCTCTAAGTTAGCCATTTTACTCTCAGCAACTGCAAAACAACAGAGAAATGAGTATTTATTGAGAACTTAAAATGGAAACCAAAGCATTAGAAAAAATTGGCTTAATAAAGAGTAAGTTTATTTCAGAAAAATAAGAAAGCTAACAGAAGCAAGCACAAAAATAAATGTGTTCCCCAGGTAGTAATAGCCACTCTCAACAATTTGTGAGCATGCAGTAGTTTTGGATCTTTTCTTCATATAGTGTTTAAACATTATTACATTATAATAATTTATAAGATAATACCCAACTCTTCCATTTTGAAAGTTATTTTTATGATTCATTTTCGTTTCTCATTTCAGGTAAACTGTTTAAAGCATTTATTATTTTGACAAAAATTACTAAGAAGGTTATTGTTTTTCTTTTGTCTTCACAAGTTTACCTTAAACTGAGTTGGGTGTTATGGGACAGACCATTTTCATGCCACTCCTGGGGCAGTGGGCACAACACAATGCCAGAAGCCACCTCCTTCAGAGTTCTCACGAGGCAGTGGCTCTGCAGAGTCTGGAAGTCAGGCCCCCAAGTGACACTGGGCCAGAAGCAGAGTGGAGCATCTTTCAACGAAAGCGTACAAAAAGGGTACCTCCCACCTGCCCTCAGATCCCAGAGTCCTGGTCCCCAGGCAGCCACGCTGGGGTGCGCTCCTTACCAGAACTGTCTCCACGCTCTCCTTTTTGGCCTTTGGATCCTGCAGGTCCAGAACCCCCTGTTTTCCCAGGAGGTCCTAACTTTCCTGGAGGCCCCTGCAAGCCTCTGAGCCCTTGACCTGTTGAGAGACCAAGGGAAAGTGACCCAGACTCTACTGCTCATTTTCCTTCTCCAGAAGCTCAGCAACTTATTCACCCAGTCCCAGGGGCCATCACACACCACTAATTTCTGTGTAGAAATATGGCCAGGAGAGCTGGAGGCACCTTTGACTGGGAAGAAGTGACCTTCCCCCGGGCTTCTACTGAGTGGGCTGGCCTGGCCCAGAACCATCAGGGTGAAAACCAAACCTCCCCAGGTCTCGAGCTCACTCTCATGTGGGACAGTCTCCCAATGGATGCAGAGAACCAACCCCGTACCTGGGTCTCCCTTCTCCCCCTTGGGTCCATCTCGTCCATCTCTGCCTGGCGTGCCATTGGTCACAGGGACGTTGCAGGTGATCACAGAGCAGGCCTTGTGAGCCTCCTCACAGGCTTTTGTTTCTGAGCAGCATGATCTCACCATGCACAGAAGGACAGGGAGCCACAGAAACAGCAGCATGGTCCTTCCTTGGACAAGAGAAAGTCAAGGAAAAGAAGTCCATCTCATTTTGTTTAGTCCTCATCTGCTGCCACCTCTGTGCTGGAGAGAGCAGACCCAGAGAGAATATCACAGCCCAGGCTGCTAGTGAGACAGCCAACTAAAAATATGAAAGTCAGATTGGTGCTGAAAAAAGGCAGATGCCACAGGTGAGTGACCTGTTCTCCTGTGGGTCCCAGGGACCCCACAGGCACAGGCCTGTGGCTAGGTAGACTGTAGCCAGGGTCCTGGACAGTGTGTGAATTATAACTGGCCTTGCTCCTGGTGGTCTTATGCAAAGACAGAGAGCTCAGAGGCTCCCTTATTTCTCCACTTCCTTTCCTGGTCCCAGAAGCCTCAGTCTCCCTAACTGCTGCAGCCCTAGATTTAGACCCAAACAGTAGCAGGTGTCCAACCCCACCGTGTCCACTTCTCAGCCAGACCTGGTTTATAATATCCACTCTCCCATTTCAAATAGAAATCCCTGTCTTATACAGGGGGCTGTCCATGCTCAGAGCCACAGTGTTTTCTACAGCAGCTTAGAAGCCATCTTGTACAAAGCCTTTGTTTTGAGACAGGCATTTGCTGGGAGCTCAGGACCCAGCAGGCCCTAAGGTAGGATCTGACCTCAGAATGGAAATTTCTTTGCTCACTGATCCTATCCACATGAGATATCCCTTGGTTTGAGATTTCCCACCACCACACCATTTCTGCTGGGCAGAACCCAGGCTCTTGAATCCCAGCTCACTCAGGCATGGCAGGCATCTCCTCACTCCTTCCAACAGGGCACTGGGTGGTGCACAGAAATCTCTCTGTGCTCAGGTTCCCATCGCCTTTGCTACAGCCCAGCAAGCCCCTCCTCCAGGAAGCTGCAGCAGCCTCCCTTCCACGGGGCTACAGGCTCCTTTCCCAGTGGCCCCAACCCTATTGCATGGCCCAGGCATCCCTGGCCTGTGGACTCTCTGATCCTTCTGCTCCTCCCGGACTTGGTGGTTTGAGGGGCCCAGTTGGAAAGGACCTTCCATTATAATAACATCCTTCTCCACATTTCCCCTTTCCATCTTTTCTGTATTTTTTAACCTTGCCTGCTGGTGCTGGAGGTATGAGACAGAGCTGTGCTTGTTGCTGGTATACATACTCCTCACTTCTAACCCACCCCTTGGATCAAACTGTCCTTTAGTTTGGAGGTGGTCAGCTGAATCCCCAGATCAATAGCAAGAGGCTCAGGTGAATCTGTTGACCCCACTATAATCCTTGCCTGGACCTCATGAGCTTTAGGCTAGGACCAGACTCTCCACCTGGCCCCACCACTTTCCTACAGAAATGACTTACAAGGTCTTCTGCAGAACACAGAGACAGCAGCAGGCAGATGACCCTTCAGCACAGGCTTCTGGCAGCTGTGTCCACGGTGCTGAGCCCAATTAGCCCAGTGATCAGGAACAGCACTGCACTGGCCTTCAACCCCAGATTAATAAACAACCATCCCTAGCCTAGGACTGCTGCAACTGGGTCAGTCTTCAGGGCTGTGGGGGGTGGGGGGGCTCCAGCATGGTGCTGGGCAGCTCTGTGCTTTGACACCCTCGACTGCTCCTTCAGCTGCCCTCACCCATCCATCCATCCACCCACCTCCGCAGTTCAGCTGGCCTAATCTTAGACTAAAATCTAAGACTAAATTGCTAAAATCTTAGACTCCACGTATTCCCTCCAGATAATCATTTCCCAAAAACTGCATAAGCACTGTACCAAAAATACTTATGTTCATATAATAAACACACACACATTGGGAAGTGGGAAGGAAATGTTCAGATGGGAAGGGGAACAAGGGAAGGGGAAGAGACAGGAAGGGAAAAAATGGGTATTAAAAATACACTGGAAGGCAAATAATAGAAACAAAATTTTGTAAATAGAGAGGAGAAGAAGGGTTGAAGGGAAAGGAAATGGGAAAACAGGACAAAATGAATTAAGATATATTATGTAAGGTATTGATTCCCTATGATGAATGTGATCATTATGTATATCAAATGTATACTAATAAAATTAATCTTAAAAAATAAAAGAAAAAAGTACACACACACATGCATGAGCACACACTTCTGTTTCAGTTTTTCTGATTAGTTTACCATTCTATTTGTGTTTTTTATTTATTATAGGGCAGGGGAGGGGAGATTAAAGACCTACAATCCTGGGTCACCTGGTTCCTTCTCATTCAGAACATTTATCAAGCATCATTGTTGGGTGTTCACAAGGATGGGCATGAGGGAAAATATTTGTAGATAACTTAATTTCAAGGCAGAGTGTGAGCATCTGCACAGTGGTCCTCTCTGCTAGGTATTTCCTCTGAGCTTTGCCTTGTTAGCTGTTGTCATTCAGATTTTAGCTTAAAATATTGTCTCAAGAGGAGGGCTGCTCCTAGCCATTTAATCTTAAGAACCTGGTCTGTTGATAAATTATATGTTGCTGATCTAATTCTTTTAATTTTTATTTTTATTAGTACATGTTTGCAGCATGCAAGATTACATTCATCGTGGGGAGTTGGTACGTGTACAAAACACATCTTAATTCTTTTCACAGCCCTTTCTCTCTCATTTCTACCCCTGGTCCCTTTTGAAAAAGATATATCTCCCTGTTTCTTATTATTTACCTTTTATCTTGCTCTTTAATTTATCTAATTTTGGGTTTTTATATAGGAGAAATTGTGTGATATTTAAATTTATGTGTCCCATTTATTTCACTTAATATTATGGTACCAAGTTGCATCTACAAATGACTCCAGTTTATCTCTCTTTATGATGCAGTAGTGCTCCAGTCTGTATAAATACTACATTTTCTTTATCCATTCATCTGTAGATGGTGACATAGTAACATAGGTCACTTCTACGATTTAGCTATTATGAATCATGCAGCTATAAACATGGGAATGCATGTACCATTACAATGTGATGTCTCTAACTCTTTGGGAAAGATACATAGTAAGGCAGTAGCTAGGTCGAATGGAATTTCTAGTTTTAATTTTTAGAGGAATTTCCATGTTGATTTTAATATGTACTAGTTTATATCCCCATCAATAATATGGAATGGTCCCTCTTTCCCTACAGCCTCACAAGTATTTGTAATTATTTAATTTCTTAATGATGCCCATTCTTTCTGGAATAAGATGAAATCTCAGAGTCATTTTAATTTCCATCTCTCTAACAGTCAGAAATGAACTTTTTAAAAATCTGTTTATTGGCCATTTCTACTTCTTCTTCTGAGAAGTGTCTGCTCATTTCAGTTGCCCACTTCCTGACAGCTTTCTTCACTATCATTTGTCTCCATATGAAGTTGTGTATTGGCTGTCTGTCTAGGAGAGCTTCTTGAGGACAGGGCTCTCAGTCCCATGGCTGGATGCCCACCTGTGCGAGCACCTGCAAACTTCAGTGCTCACAGAGGTGGAGAGAACATGTGAGCCACCTGCACAGTGATCTCACAGAATCCCTCTGGCTCCTCTGTGGCTACAGTCAATGTCTTCATCTGTGTTGTGACTGTTCTCGAGCAAGGGCTATGTTCAGTGCACTTCCTTTTCCCCAAAGTGCAGTCCAGGAGTGGGCACATGAGAAGGCCCTAGTGTGAATGGGGAAAGAAGCAGAGCTCCAGAGTAGAGCACATTCCAGGCCAGTGTGCGGCTCCTTCAGGCCTGGTTTCTGGAGTGCCCAGTGCTTATCACCAGAGCCTTCCCAAAACTCACATTCACTCCCTGAAATACTTTATCTCACCAAACAACTTGAAATGTTTGCGTTTTGCTTGGTAGGGAGCAGGGCCAGGTCACTTCCTTTTGACTCTGTTTTATGATTGGTGTTCAGCTTCTCGAGGGCCATGAGCTTACGTACATTCAAGTCACTATGCGCAGTCCACCAGCCCTCCCATTCCTGTCCCAAGGTAGCTGCCAGGTACCAGGAGGGCCCTATGGTTCAGAAGCCCATTTTCAATGTATGTTCTTGATGCCATGGGTACACGTGTACAGGGCCTATTAACTCAGCATGCCTATGTTCAGAAGACAAAGGACATTCAACCTATATATCAAGCAGACGATCTCCCAAAAGAGTGGAAATTTAAAGTGGAGGCCTGCACATGAAACCAGAACCCTAAGCACTGTACAGACTTAGAGATCTGGTGGGAAAAATGTTCTTTTTTAGGAATATGGATCCATAGGACTGTAGTTGTATAAGATCTAGGGTTTGGATTTATGCTGGTGCTATTGTCACTGTTTGCTATTTATGCCAAGATGAAAAACTGTGTTTCAAGCATCCCAGCATGTCACAGTCTAGTGGACTATGAAGACATAAAGCAATAGCAACCCCTACCCTTAACCCAAGCACCTCAGGGTTTTCTCAAGGAGATTAAACAAATTGTGCCTACTTTCTAGAAAAATCACCAAATACAGTAGGAGATAGAGTGAGAGTTGAGCTAAACAGCAAGCCTCAGAAATAGTCCTACAAGGACCATGGACTTCATAGAACAGGTAATTAATACAAAGCCAGCCTCCCTATCTGTGAGCTCCACATCTGCAGATTTGACCCATCATAGATCAAAATCTAGCTAGGCCTATAGTGGTTATGACTCCATTGAACACATACAGACTTTTTTCTTGTCATTATTCTCTAAATAATGCTGTATAACAGCTATTTATGTAGAGTTAATTGTTATAAGGAATCTAAAGAGGATTTAAAGTGTACAGGAGATGTGTATAAGTCATACACAAACACTGTGCCTTTATATAAGCAACTTGAGCATCTGTGGATTTTAGTATCTACAGGGGTAAGGGAATTGATCCCCTCCAGACATCAAGGGATGGCTGCATTTTTTAAAAGAAAGTGTAATTGAGAAATAAAAATTAAGTTAATGAGCTAAGGAAATAACTACAGAGTCAGTAATAAATTAATTGTTTCTTTGGAAAAATATCCATAAATTTAATGTCTTACTTTGTCCTCATTATATAATCATACATGCATGCTCTTCAATACAGTACTACCAGATGCTCCCACTGGACTGTGGAATAAACATCCTAGTGCCTTGGATGTTTGGTTCAGCCATGTGATGAAAACAGATAAGAAGTGTGCAGCAGACTCAAGCATGCTTACAGAATGAGTGCAGCCTTTTGTGTTTCATTCTCAACCATAGGAAGACTATGTCCCTGGTAGCCACTAACATCAGGATAGTTGCACAATGCAGAGGAGTCCAAACTGACCAGAAGGCCCAGAGTCCAGCCCACTGCAGCTAAGTCCACAAAACCTAAGACCAACTAGCACCTGGCATGCTGGAAGACCCAGAGCCAAAAATGAAGTGTGTGTTATCAGTACCTGAGACAGACTTACTGTTGCATGGGCTTGGTGACATATTACCAACAGTGAAAGGAAAAGAGAATATTACACTCAGATAGATGGTGTCCTAGTCACTTTATCATTGCTCAAACACAATATCAGCACCTGCAATTTAAAGGAGAGGTTTCTTTTTGGCTCACAGTTTCAGAAACTTCACTCCACGTTCAGAAGGGCAGATACAGGAAGGGCATGGTGGAAGGCCTGGGCACAGGAGCACTGCTTGTGTCATGTTGGCCAGGAAGCAGAGAGGAAAATGATAGCACTTTCCAGGTTATGCCTTCAGTGTCCAGCACTTCTGACCAGACCCCACCTCCTAACAAAGTCAGCTGTACCCAAGTCCCAGGATTCAATCACCTTTGAAAAGCCCTGTCAATGAGCTCACAAGGCTTTTGGGGGAAGGTTATTGATCTAAACCATAACGTGTTGATGGTATTGACACTATAGAATTACATTATATACATTCATTTTATAGCAATATATTTGAAAACTGGATAAAATAGATATTAGAAAGCAATTCAAAATTACTAAATTTGGCCCAAGAAATGTAAGAATATTATACCATTGATTATAAAGTATAGAAATAGAACTGAAAAATAATCAACCAATGGAATAGGTAATTCAGGGGACATCTGAACCTTTCCCAACTTCCTGTTTATCTATCTTTAATTTTGCTCCTCATTTGCAAATATAAATATACTTTGAGTTTCTCCTATAAGCAAAACTGTGCAATATTTAAGCTTGTGACTTATTTCACTTAACATTATGTTCTCAAATTGCATCCATTTACCTACAAATTCCTCAAGTTTATCCTTTACGGCAGATTAGTACTCCATTGTGTATAATGTTGTGTAAACCACATTTTCCTTATCCATTCATCTGCTAATGGACACATATGCTGTTTCCAACTAATTATAAATTGTGTTACTATAAATGTGGGTATTCATATATCCCTGTAATATGATGATTTTAACTTTGGAGGAAGATATCAAGAAAGAGATAGCTGGTTAAGTGGAATTTTTATTTTTAATATATGCTAATTTTTTTATTTATATTACTAGTTTCTCTTTGTTCACTGAAAAGAA